TGAATTCCTCTGACCAATTAAGGAACGGGCATGATGTCCGAATTCGCGGCTTTCCCAAAGCCATACGCTCTACATTTACGGAGATCGGCACGTTGTACTGCATTGTTTCTATAGCCCTGGTTTTGCGTGCAATCACTAGGATTTTACGGTATATTCAGCTCCTGAGGTTGTATACGTTGAAGTTGCGCGCACGAAAACATGCGTTTGAAAAAGTGATACGAAGTCTTTCTCGAACTGTTTAACATTTCTAACGTCATAAAACGTCCACACGACAATAAGCTCAGCATCGCGAAATCGTTCCAATTATTGAACGTATGTAGGTTATGATTCAATTAATAAAAAAAACGCTACAGAAATGTGTCGCGCACAGATCACGTAGATATTTATCACTCGACAGCTGAAATGGCATTTGCCGTAAGACAACGCAGCTTGTCCTTACACGTCTCCCGAGATACTCTTTCATGGACCGGTACGGCCAGTTTCAAGTCCAGTAATTCCGAGAGCACACACTCCACCCTGCAACACATCCGGAATCGACCCTGTGCACCTTGACTCACTCGGGCTTTTCTTGTGAGAAAGAGTGGGAGCAGATCCCGGGGCGAGGTACGCTGCACAGCACCGCACCACATTCTTTTTTCTGCAGACTGCGGTGTGCTTTGTGAAAGGGTGCAGCGCACCGCAGCGCGATGTTTTTTTGTGTTCGCAGCTTCGTTTCGGATGCCAGCGATACCGTTGTGCGCGGATCAAGGATCCCCGCTCTGCGTGGATCCTTGAGCGCCGGCGTACCAAAGGCGCGTCAGGTTGGCAGGCGTCATTGGGTAACTCTGCCGGGGCTGACTGTGACACGAGTGGGCTGCTGGCCTCGTCATCAGGGATCAGGCGGCGAGCCCGGTCCGCCCATAGCGAGAACCTGAGAGGCGGCGTCCCGTTTACGCCGCCGACCCCTTGTGGCTGCATTTCAAGGAAGTTCTGTAAGACAGCCGTGATTTTAACAGCGTTGGACACTTGCATCGCATCTAGCCGTCAACCAGGAAAGGTGGCCAGGGGCACCCACCGCAACCGATTGCGGCGCAAAGAACCGTGTCGTCAAAATAAAATTTAGGAACTGAATATTGCTATCGAAGCGACGACACTATCTGGTAACGATTATGAAAGCTGCCCACTGGGATATAGAACAAAGCCATAAATTACTACCTTCCGAGCACTGCTAGCCGAAAATGAATGCAGGTTGGGGAGGGGGGGGGGGGGTAAGAGGAACATTGGGGGAGGGCTCAAGTCAGAAATGTGGGGTGGGGGAGGGGGGAGGTGGGCAAGCTCATTTGAAGAATACAACACGACACTACTAATTGATTATAACATTATCAATGAGCGATGTTCATACCATAAGTGCCTATAAACTTGTGTTCAGCATGACAATGCAGTTGATTTTTGGTTGACTGGTGTTCGTGTCCTGCCGTAACTCACATATTGCTCGACCGTGGTCACGAGGCAGGAGGAGCTAGACGACCGCGGTCCTGTTCTTACGCGGATAATTGTTTGCTGGGCAGCGCGACCCGAAGACGCGGCTTCGCTCTTTTTGGGGGGCTGGGGGACGGTCTACTCGTTTCGTTGTCTCTCATTTGGCTCCAGGCGTGGCGGCATGAAGAGGCGTGGTCATGGTATGACCAGGGACCAGCTCGGACCGCAAGGAATGTAGGATTGTGCTTGACGGCAACTAGATCTATCTGTTGGTGTGCAATGTCTCGAGAGAGACCAGGACACAGCCGGTTCTCTCCCGATGTGGTGCGCGTCATGCCTTATGAGCTCTTGATATAGGGATGTTCGGGACGAAAAGAGATTCCGTCATCCACGCTTGTAGGGAGGGAGTTACGGGACCAGGTCTTCGAACAGGCCCCTTGGCTCCACCGTCCCATCGAGCGCGCTGTCTACCCCCAAGCCTCTGAGGGACGCGCCGTGGGGCAGTGCCTTGCAAAGCTCACTCTGACAGGCAGGAGGCGAGGGCGCAGAAGCGCCGGAGGCGGCGCCTCCATGCTGGGCAAGGCGCTGCCTAAGGCGTGTGCGCGGCAGTGGGAAGCTACGAGCGGTGGGTGTGGCCCGAAGGAATGGTGGGCCGCCACACTGTGCACGAGACGCGAGGGAGCGTTGTCCGAATAAGGAACCGTCACCCTGGAGCCTGGAGTTCAGGCGAGAGAACGAGTCGACGTCAAGCTTTGATTCACCAGATGCCGGCCCTGTAGCCGCGTCGGTGCCAAGCTGATAGCAAATTTACCTGAATGCTTTAAATGAGGCATAGACGTGGCTTTATTGTATGTCTAAAATGCGTTAAATAACTGACAGGTCTAACTAACTGAACCGTGTTTCGTCTCTTAAAAAGGATATACTCTGTGGGTAAGTGAGGATGATGTATTACTAACATGTTGATGTCAAGATGGTGTCAGGTCAAGGTCATGCCATAGGTCGGCCTGACAATTTGGTTCATTCATGCGACAATTGCTTCAAAATATGTTTACGTCTATTCTGTTCGTGTTATGTATATGAAATGTCAGCAACAAGTTGTTTATTCAGCATGTAGTCAAGATATAGGTTGGACACCACACATAACAGCAGTCACAGTTCTCACTATTGGTGACTTGCGGCATGCTGGCGCAGCTACTTGCCCCAACATCTCTGCACAGCAATGCAGTCCTTCTGGCAGTTCATCATCATCACATCATCATCATCATCACCACCATATAATATAAATGTCATAACCACATCAGTCTCAAATGGGATGTCCTTTGTCGACATTAAAATAATGTGGGAACCAACCATATCCAGGTAAGGTTGGGTTGGGTTAGGTAAGCTTAGGCTAGTGGTTTGCTATCAGCGATGGGATAGTCCTGGGATGTGGGACCAGCAATAGTTTTCTATCAGCGATGGGACAGTCCTGTGATATAGGATCAGCCACAGCTTGCGTTCAGCGGTGTGGGACGGTCCTGTGATGTGAGACCAGCCACAGTGTGCTACCAGTGATGGGACGGCCCTGTGACGTGGGACCAGCCATGGTTTGCGATCAGTGATGGGGCGGTCCTGTGATGTGAGACCAGCCACAGTCTGCTATCAGTGATGGGACGGCCCTGTCACGTGGGACCAGCCACGGTTTGCGATCAGTGATGGGACGGTCCTGTGACATGGCACCAGCCACGGCTTGCTATCAGTGGTGGGACGGGCCTGTGATGTGGCACCAACCACGGTTTGTTATCAGTGATGGGACAGCCTTGTGAACACATTCCTCTCCGGGAATGAAGGTGCGTAGACCCACGACCGGCCAACGCTAAGTCGTCTGCAGTATGAGAGCCCCTTGCCTTGTTTCACCACATGCCATGTTGAGCCACGCGCCATGTCTTCCGACACGTCCCCCCCCCCCCCCTCCCCCGCTGCGCATTGGTCTGCTAACGCTCTCGACGAGTGGTAGCTATTTCAATCATCAACCTCCGGCGCACCCTCACGGCGCTCCTCGCCTCGCTTTCTCTCCGAAGTGCCTGACTAAGATGCGCTTGGATGGATCACGTCAAGATTCCGTCCCCCGTCCCACACAATGGCCATAAAGACTGTTCGCTTTCTTCTGAAATGTCTGGAGGATGTTTTTCACTGACTGTACTGCCATCTATATCCGATCAAACTCCCGTGATCTCGTGCGCACGGTTCCTTTGTAACGGATCATAAAATACGCTGTGAAGCATTTTGCATGTATTGTGCATAACACAACTCGAACTCGGTACAACTTGGTTACGCAAATCCCATCACCTTCAAGAAATACCACCAACACGTCCAATGATAACAACCAGCAGAGAAAACGGGAAGGGTATGTGCAAGGAAATCCAGGTCCTGTTCTATGGCCAGCAACTGGTCGTTTTGGAAGAAAATACGCGCTACCCTACCCCACAACGCACCACACCTTGTGCGACGAGACAGTTTATCACAGAACTGACTTCTACAATGTATTGTGCAGACATCTGCATTATAAGGTACAGGTCGCCATGCACGCGTTCTCATTTCAAGACAGCATGGGCGTGAAACCTCCTTAGCATCACATCAGAACTTCCCCTTAAACATGGGCGTTTTTCTGGTGCACAACACACGGCCGCAGCCGGACCAAATTAACTGCAGACAACTCATGGCAATAAAGTATCTTAACGCCAAGGGATATTCAGAGAGATGTGAGGGTTCATTGAAAACCACCACGCCCTCACCAGGAGCCGTCAGACCGCTAGCACCAACGCCGTCTGCCCTGCCCCCGCGACTGGGCCCGCCGCCGGCCCCCGCGCCGTCACGCGGGCGGCGCGGCCCGGCGGCGCAGCGCGGCGAGCACGGTACGCCGCAGCGCCGTCTGACCGAGCTCAGCAGCCGCCGCCAGCCGCGCCAGCTCGCCGCCGTCCAGCAGCGGGCCGACCCGCTGCACGGTCAGCAGCAGCAGGCGCGCGAACGGGGCGCTGGCGCGGCGCGCGCCGGCCGCCGCCGCCAGCGCGGTCGTCAGCGCGCCGGCCAGCTCGGCGGAGAGCGGGCAGGCCGGCAGCAGCGGCAGCAGCAGCGACACGGCCGCCTCAGTCAGCGGACGACCGCACAGCCGCCTGCCGGGCCGCGGCCAGCACACGTCATCACATACCCGACGCCGGGCTGAGATTAACACGGGCAGCGTACGCCCACCGGATTTCAACAATGAGGAGCCATGTGCTGGGCTGATTTAGCCAGTTAGGCGTTACAACAATAACATGGAAAGGCTAGCCCATCCGACAGGCACCCCTGGTTGAAGAGGTCAGCGACGCACTGACCTGCTCAACTATTCCGGGAGCAGCGGACTGACCTGACGAGGTTACCAACACATTGATCTGATAAGGCCAGCGACACACACCGACCTGGCGAGGTCGGCGCGGCGGGCCGGCTCCAGACCGTCGGTGACCAGCCGCAGCGCCAACTCCTCGCACGGCAGCTGGTCGCCGTCGGCGAGCGGCAACAGGCAGCCGTCGGCGACGGCGGCCGAGTGGCGGCGAGCCAGGCCGGCCAGCGCCGCCGTCAGCTCCGCCGATGGCACCTCGCCGGAGCGCAGCTGCGCACGAACGGAGGCCGTCAGCGCCCGCCCGGCAGGCCGGCGCGGCGGCTCACGGCCCTGACACGGGGCAGTACCCGCGGCGGGTCAGCCCGGCCACGCAGCTGCACTGACGATAGCGGTGGGACAGTAGACTGGGAATACGGATGACTTAAAATCAACGCCAACAGATACACGAGGAGCTCTTTGCAGGTTATGTGACGCAGGGCCACCGCGAGACCGGTGCCCGAGACTCGCCAGAGAAGCAGTCGAAATACAGGATTGACATAAGAAACGACAAAAAGAGCCCAGAACCAGCCAAAGTCCTAGCAAGAACGCAAGGCGCCTTAAAAGCTGTCCAAGGCTGAAGAGGCGACCCATTGACAACAATGCGAATGTGAATTATTACATGGAGTGGTGGCGGTACCAACAGAACACATCAACGTCTGGAGCCTGCTCACCCCGCAACCACTTAAGTACGCTGTCATCGGTCCAAATCGCGAATCTGACAACGGATCGCGTTCATCAGCTCACCTTTGGGGTTAGCACATGCTCCACCCAGCGCTGCACCAGCGCGGCGTCCAGGCGCTCGGCGGAGGCCACGCGCACCAGGTTCGCCTCCAACTGCAAGGCGGCGGTCCGCCGCAGCTGGTCGGTCGACAGTCGCGCCAGGCCGTCAAGATCGACGTCCGAGAGGAGGCCGTCGGGGCCGGCCCCGGGCCCCGCCGCGGACGGAGGCTCCAGCATCGGCGCCACTTGCAGGTCGTTCGAGGACGGCGCCGCCATCTCGCTCTCGTTTTGGACAGCGCACGGTGGCGAGCCATCTGACGGCGGCCATGCGCGATTCGGCGTCACGCGGCTAGATGGCAGCGGCGGCGCGTTGCCCCCTGGGGGTCGACGCGGGCTGGGCTCCGACGGCGAGCAGCCCGAGGGGAAGCGAGCTCGCTTCTGACCCGGACCCGCACCCAGTTCGGGCGAGCGGGAGCGTTTCCGGTGCAGCGTCGGCGATAGCTCAGCCATCTCCGAAGCCTGGTCCATGATCACGGCACTCAACCCAATCGCCCTCGGCGCAAACAAGCATTGGCCAGTCCTCACGGGGCGAAGACCCTCTGTCAGTCTGCTGCAGCTCATGAACGGTTTCTTTTAGGAACTCGGCGTTGCACTTTGCAAATTCGTAGTCATCGGAATCGTCCTCCATGATTGATGCCCGAGCAGTACGTGCGAATTAATCTGAAAGCAAAAACGAGAGCGCAATTTAAATAATGCTCCTTTAATTGCACGAAGTTCACGCGCTGCACGAGCTCTAGATCATCGAGGCCTCACGAGCTGACCAGCACGCTTTGTGACCGCAGCTGCGAGCTGCCTGCGACCGCCGCACTCAGTGGGTCCTCATCGGCCCCCGGCAGCGAGCTCCAGCCTCCGCCTGACGTGTCGTCATCGCTTGCCGACGCCAGGACCGCCGTCGCTCTCCGAGCCGCCGCCGACCGTCGCCTCGAGGGCTATCTCCGCCGCTTCCTGAGTGGCTCCGTCAACGGCCGGCCGCGTGGCCACCGCCGCCGGCCTCGGCCGGCACCTCCTTTGCCTCGGTGAGCGCGCGGGAGCCGTGTGTGATCGCCGTCAGCCGCACGCCCTGGCCGGCGGCGGCGCGCACGAACCCTGTGTTGGCCGTGACGGTGGGCAGACGCAGCGCCTCGCCCGTGCCGAACACGGCGGCCGAGCGACCGCGCACCTTACCGCGCGCCGCCAGCAGCGCCATGGCCGGTGCGCTCATGTCCTCCACTACCCGCACGCGGCGGAGCAGGCTGTCGGCGCGGCGCTGCTCGTTCGGCCCGCCCACCGTGTTCACGATCGAGACGAAGGCGCGCTCAGCCGAGCGGCAGCAGATCAGCTCACGGTCGGCGAACAGCCGGTCCAGCTCGGGCTTGACGGGCGCCTCCCGCTCCCAGATGGCCTGCTGCGCCAGCACCGGCTCCGAGAACGACACGTGGCAGCGGCCGTTGGTGAGGTTCGAGACGTACGCCAGCATGGCGGTCACATCCAGGTTGAGGCCCGACTCGGCCGCCAAGCCGGCGGTCGGCGGCGCGGCGCCCGCCACAGACGGCCACACCTCCGGTGACGTCTCGCTTCCTGGCTCCGTCACGTTAGCCTCCATGCCATCCACCTCCTCCTCGTCGGAGGAGACGTCCGAGTCGTCGTCGGCGGAGGCGGCGACGCCCAGCCGGTGGTCGTCGATGCACTCGCCAGGAGACGAGCACGCCGCGCGCGCGCAGCCTCGCCGCCAGCCGGCGGCCGACGCCGGCCGAGAACACGAAGTGCACAGCCGGCGGCCTGAAGTAGTGACTGTTGCGCTGGGCGACGACCGCGTACTGCTCGGCCTGCTCCTGCGCCGAGCGCTGGCCAAACTCGCCCTGCCCCAGCGAGACGCGCTGCAGCGCCGCCGGGTTGCGCGAGATGACCTTGATCCACTGAGCGCCGCCGGCGGCCACCACGTCCACCACCACACGCTGGCCGGACTCGGCGCACGAGAAGGTGGCAAGCATGGCCGTCACGTCGACGGCCGCGCGCAGCGTGTCGGCGATCGCCTGCAGACTGTCCATGTTGCTGCTGCGCAGGTGGTCCTCCTTGAGGGTGTGCGGCTTGCGCTGCAGCTTCTGCAGGAACTTGAGCTCGGCGCGCACTTTGCGCGCGAACTTGTCGCACCCGTCCACGCCACTGAACGGCTCGAGAGCGACCAGGATGGCTTGACCCTGGCACACCTTCTGGTCCAGACGGGAGATTGCATCGCTACCCATTGTGATGGCTGCAGGTTTACCAGATGGTCAGACGACATATCTCGTGTGACGGGGCAATACAGTACATACGATCTTCCCGTTTCATATGTGGTACTAAGCCCACGTCTGGTGGTTTGTGTAGTTACCATACATAAATATAAACACGTGCTCGAGTCGGGGTCAATTTGACGCCACGAAGGTTTTACCGGAATGGTTTCCAAATGGCTTAGCCGCGCCAAATTTTGCGCACTTGTAGAAAATTGCATAGCAGACCGTTTGGAATACAAAATTACATGCATCTTGTAAGGTCGCTGAGATACCGCAGGCCAAATTCAGGCCGTGGATTCAGCGAAGACGACTTCTGGGGGAAACGTTCAATCTGGTGCAACAATGGCGTGTTAGACACAGCCATACATCTCAAAGATGGTTTCTTAGGCAAACACAAAAACAAACACTTGAATGAACAAATTCGAGTGACCTCAGGTTAGGTATGACGGTCAAAACCAGGATGACGGTCAGACCTATGCCAAAACCAACCTGTTTTAGTACTCCGTAGCTGGCTGTGCAGGGTACATTCTGGTACTCAATTTGAGTTTATTGATAAAAGGAACTGCAGTATACATCTCCCATAAAATTCATGTAGGTCAGGATAGGTCAATGACCTAGAACAACCTATGCCGACATTTTCAGGAGCATACTGCCCAGCATAATATTTGGCACATATTTAAATGCAAAACTCAGAGCAGTTTTGTATGATTTTGGTCACCATGACCTATGAAAGGTCAAACAAGGTCAATTAACTCAAATGAGCACTAGTGATCTTTTGTTTAAAACAGGTATCTAGATTCCAGAGTACTTAAGACACCAATCTTGAGTTTGATCTTGTTTGACCTTATTTGATGTGAAGGTCAAAACCTAGGAACTCAAAATGTTGACACAAGTGAGTTTACCTGTCAACACACCTGGTGAATTTGGTGTCTCTAGCTCTCTTAGTTTCTGAGATCTCAGGAGGTCAAATTGACCACCACCAGAGCAAATGGTTCTCACCTGGCCACCCTGATGGATGTTAACGCACAAACATCACACTCTGCCGCTGTTCCATTTCTAGATTGGCAGTAGGAATAAAACAGTTTCCATGAATGAAAACTGTCAAACCTCCAAACCCCATGCTGATGCTTGGCCACAAAACAAACTGCCTTTCTGCTGATGTCAGTGATTAAGTAGTGACTCTTATGCCACAAAACCTCATTCATTAATTACAAATCATCCTTAAGTTTATATACCAACAAGACAGTGAACCCGACACAACAAAGTGTTGGTGGAAGATGTAAAAGATCAAACAGATACATACAAAAGAAGGACGACATAAGTGGTGCACATTATCAATGCTATGGCAACGCTGCATCCTACAGTGGGCTCGACAAGTTCACAATGGGCAGCACAACTAAAAAACTTTCGGTGAAAACAAAGTTGCATGTGGCACCAGCATGCAGAACTTCATTTGTCATAAAACAAGGTATAATTATAACATGATAACCTGTCTACCTGTCATAAGACAAGATATGATTGTAACTTGTTAACACATGTCTACCAGGAATTTTTGCCTTTCAACATTTGGATGCATACATTTACCATATGCCACAAGCTCAGTAAGGCAGGGTGAGACCCTTTGCTTTCAAATAAGGGGGAAGGGTCACATGCCTCAAGGGACACTGCGCATGCATGTATGTTTGTGTCACTAGTGATGTTTTTCACATAACTATAATGCTGGAATATTAAGAAATACTCACACCCCAGACTACAAAAATTGTGTTACACTGAAAAAGTCAGGTGCCCACCACACAAAAATTTCAGTGTGAGCTGCCACAAATGGGTGCCTGAAAGTTTGGCACTGATCTAAGGGCATGAGAGCAGCACAGTCCTGGTAAAAGTAGGCTCAAGACATTTTAAATGAAAATTTATACAAAATTGGGATAATTTTTGCCTGACCCAGACCCAGTGCAACAATGTTGTACAGGCATGCAGCGCATTAATTTTTGACTCGCCACGAGGCAAAGAGACAAATACCCTGCAGAAGACCCCAACTTTCAAGCAATACAACCTTGACGCACCCCACAGCCCACAAGACCCGTCACCGCCCAACATGCAGCATACGAAGTTTTGTTTAAAAACAAGTGCTAATCTATCCTCTGATATAACATCTGCTTAAGTGCATACAGTTCTCCACCTATTATTTAGCATCATATACACGAAACTCAACAAGATGTTTGAACGCAATATCGTGCCTCCCTCTCCGCCTCCAAGCAGGATTCAAGGTGATGAAAATACGACAACTGTGGGAGGCCTAACGCGGTCTTCTACCCTGCTACAGTACCTAATGAGGAGAACCCAGAAGACCTACCCCCAGGAGACCTGCACTCATTGGACCTACGCTCACGAGGGCTACGCTCGCTGGACCTACGCTCAAAGGACCTACGCTCGCTGGACCTACGCTAAAAAGACCTACGCTTGCTGGACCTACGATCAAAAGACCTACGCTTGCTGGGCCTGCGCCGACGAAACCTACGCTCACTGGACCTACGCCCAGGAGACGTACGACGACGTGATGCCCACGTTAACGAGTCACTGTTGGCGGGCCCTTTACCACCTACCGCGGAGAGGGTAAACGAAAGCTGATATTTAAGGCACTGTATAGCGTTGTCCGCTGCTCTATGGGTGTGCACTAGGGTGCGTCATCGAGAGGTGAATCTCTTCGAATCAGCTGAGACAAAGTTTTTCCTTGGCACACGGGTTAATGATAAACTTTCAGGTCTGTCGCACCGCACCGATGTTGACATTCGTTAGGCGAGAGCAGTTTTTCTTCGATAGGCCAGGAAAACCGCATTCGATACTAGCGCCACCTATTTTACGCACTGGAATCATCTTGCAACAAGCCTCAGAGCTGCCACTTTCCACACTACTGGTACTTGACAGATTAAGTATGAAATAATATCATGAAGAGCACCAGCAAAACATTGCTAACCAGCTTTTAAGCTGACTATTTAGTAAATAACATTAGTTTTTGGTAAAACTCAAAACTGTGCGGCTATGAGAATGCCCCAGCAGACCGGGTTAGGCTCAAGTTTGCTATCGCTAACGCATCTTTGTGATGTTTATTTGCAGTTTGTGCTTTTTGCGTGGGAGATATGGGCTTATTAGTTAAGTTTTGCCGGCACTGAAACATTTCTTTCGAACAGTTACTTGCATGAGCATGCCGAATGCTACACGGTCGCGCGCAAAACATTTTGTGACAGACCACCCGGCTCCACTGTCCCACCACCAGCTGCTGACAACGAGAAAGCCTTGAGCTTCATCAGGTAACGAAGAGGAGTCTCACTAATACCATCGTCAGGAACGCGACGGTAGAAGTCAGAGTACTGCGGACCAACGAAGCGAACCCTATTCATGATCTAAAATGCGTGTCAAAATTGATCGAGAGGGATTGACATCATCCCAACAGAGCAATGAGCAAGAAATAAAAGAGAGAGAGAGAGAGAGAGAGATAGAGAGAGAGAGAGAGAGAGAGAGAGAGAGAGAGAGAGAGAGAGAGAGAGAGAGAGAGAGAGAGATATATGTATATATATATATATATATATATATATATATATATATATATCACATCTTGTGCCGTAGTATGTCATCATTTACTGGTTGGTTCATGCTTACTAGCATATTTGTTAATATGTTTTCCGTCACATTTGACGGACTGGATATCGGCATAGTTACATTCACTAAAGAGGCGCGATCATTTTTGCACGATCCAATGCTCAGTTCGTAGCGAATTGTTCTAACATATTTTGTTTTCAGATGGTCGACACTGGCCGCTGGTCGGTGTGGTGTTTATGGAGCTGGATCATCTCGCGCATGGTCTGGTTCGGTGCAAACCACAGAACGCGTGGTAAGCGGTTGGTGGGGAAGCTGATTATTCTACCAAGGTCAACAGGAGTTCATTTTATATGGTAGCCCGGGAGGGCATGACAATACAGGGGAATGTGAATTATTTTCATTTCAACGATACATAGACACTGCATCCCTCCCCCTCTTCAGATTATTATTTACACATAGTCCTTCATCCACGCGGGCTGGCGCCGCGCGCGGTGACGCATGGTCGGGGAACACACTGGCGCCGGGGACGACGTCATGGCGTGGGAGGACGCAGTAGCGGCGCGGAGAATAGGGGTGTGGCGCCACATGGACTCTAGGATATCATCCATCTCCTGTACTTCGTCCTCTTCTTTGGAGCGATCAGCGTCCGGTCCATGGAGGTGCGGGTGCGCTTTGAGTAGCGACGCGTTTCTCGTCACCTGGTGACATCCACGTGATGCGGTGACCATGGTGCCTTGGATTCCGGTCACTTCGTACGGCGCTGGGCGGAACCGAGGTGTCAGCTTTCCCTTCCTGAATTCGGGGATCAGAATTTGGTGTCCGATTTGAAGATTCGTTGTCTTGGCTCCACGGTCAGCTTGTCCTTTCATCCTCTTCTTCGCGGCTGCGTCCGTCTTGCGGAATTTTCCATCCTCCGAATGTGTCGTCATCGGGGACGGCAGTAAAATCTTCACTGTGCGACCGTATAGTAGTTCAGCCGGGCTCTTCGGAGCAGTGGTGTGCGGTGTCGATTGTTAGTTTCGTAGAAACTTGTTCATTTCCTGCTTGATCGGGCGTTGCTCAACGACAGCAGCTTTCACAGCTTTTGATATAGTTATCATGAAACGTTCTGCTTCTCCGTTAGCTCTTGGCCACAACGGGGTGATCTTGCGGTGCTTGAGGCCGATGTAGTTCGCGAACTGGGCGAACTCATGTCCATTGAACGGGGGTCCGTTGTCTGTTCTCATGACGTCGGGAATCCCGAACATCGAGAAGATGTCGTCCAGGATGGGGATGGTGTTACGAGCAGATGTTGATTTTGTCGTACGGACAGCCGGGAATCTCGAGTAGTCGTCGATTACAACAAGGAGATATTCGCCCGATGGAAAGGGTCCACAGAAATCAGCAGACAGCTCCTTCCATGGTCCAGTTGGGAGCGGCGACATCTAAAGAGGTTTCTTCTGTCGAACTGGTTCGGTGACTCGGCATGCAGTGCAGGTCTTGATGGTGGCTTCCACTTGTGCATCGATGCGTTGGAACCACACTTTCTCTCTCAGGAGTTTCTTCGCCTTGACGATGCCTTGGTGTCCTTGATGGGCCAGGGTGATGGCCTTGCTTTGCAGCGCAGCGGGGATGGCCAGCCGATTTCCACGAAGGATGACGGTGTTGTCTTCCGAGACAGTCAGATCTCCATGGATGGCTGCGAAGCATTTCAGGGCGTCGTAGTCGACATCGTCTTGACCGGTTTCTTGAGGTCGGTGAGTGACGGTGTGCCACTGGTTTGACTTCACCAGCTCGAGGACCTTCCGGAGGTTCCATCTCTTGCGGTATAGGTCTGGATTTCCTCGAGATTCATGGCTTTTGGTACAGCAGAATTCATGACGAAGTCGATGAAGGCTTTCGTCTGATCGGGCAGGGTGATTCCGTCGCTTGAATCGCTGGTTAGTGGATGGCGTGACATGTAGTCGGCTGGATTGTCCTTCCCAGGTCGGTAAACGATTTCGAGATCGTACGATTGCAGGCGCAGACCCTGGCACACGACCCTTGCTGGAGGCTTCGACGCGGGGTTGCTCCGCATGAGTTGCACCGACTTGTGGTCCGTTACAACTTTCACCTTCTGACCGTGTATGTACAGGTGGAAGTGTTCGCATCCCCAGACGATGGCGAGGGCTTCTCGCTCGGTTTGCGAATACCGGCTTTCCACACTGGTCAGAGCACGACTTTCGAACGCGATGACCTTGATATCCTCAGGATTTTCAGGTGTAGTCTGGCACAGGATGGTACCGAGTCCGTGCGGACTGGCGTCTACGATGAGGCACGTATCCTTCTTCTGATCGAAGTAGGACATCGTTCAAGAGCTACTCAGAGCTTCTTTGAGTCTCTGAAAGGAGGTCCCGTGATTGCTAGTCGACTTCCAAGGAGTGTCTTTCTTGGTGAGGTCTCGCAGCGGGCTCGTGAGGTCGGCGTAGTTCGGTATGAACCGTGACAGGTAGTTCGTCATACCGAGGAAGCTTCATACTTCCGATGGGTTCTCTGGTGCCTTGCTGTTCACGATCGCCGATGCCTTCTTGGGATCTGCTGACGTTCCCTCCGATGAGATGGTGGTGTAGCCAAAGAAGGCCAGTTTGTTCTGGTTGAAGGCGCACTTCTCACGGTTGATGGTCAGCCCTTTTTCATGCAGCCTTTGGATGACCTTGGTCAGGGCTCTGTCGTGTTCGGCTTGGTTTGAGCCGAAGACGATGATATCGTCAGAGAAGTCGCGGACTCCTTCAATGCCATTGAGCGTATGCTGGATGACGTTCTGGAAGACTTCGCTGGCTGAGCACGCACCAAAGCTGAGACGCTTGTAGCGGAACAGACCCTTGTGAGTTGAGACGGCTGTGATCGGTCTGCTGCTCGGATGGAGTACCAACTGATGATATCCTGAATGTAGGCCGATCTTGCTGCCAGCAAGATCGGAAGCAAAGCAAGGAAGCAAAGGTATTCGGAATACCTTTGCTTCGTTTAGGTCATGGATGATGTCGTCTACTGTTGGAGTGAGGTGTCTCTTTCTGTGGATAGCGGTATTCACACGGCGCATATCCACACACACGCGGATAGCTGTCGGGTCCTTGGGTTTGGGGACGCACACGACTGGGGATACCCACGGCGTCGGTTCGGTGACAGGTTCGATGATGTCCTGTTCCTGGAGCGAGTGGAGTTCCTTCTCAAGAGCTGGGTTCGAGCTGCCCGCGGGGTTCGAATCCCATCCTCGTCGCCAAATGTGGTGTTTATGGAGCTGGATCAGCTCGCGTATGGTCTGGCTCGGTGCGAACCATAAAACGCATCGTAACGGCCGGTGGGGAAACTGTTTATTCTACCAAGGCCAACAGGGGTTCATTTCATACGATAGTTCGGGAGGATGCGACAATGCAGGGAAATGCGAATGATTTTCATTTCAGCGATACAAAGACAATACAGTCGGCTCCTAGTTCACATGTCTACCGAGACATTCAGCAGCGCTCCCAAGAACGTCGTCCAGCGCGTGGTCGGTCACTATGTGCCAGCATGATCCGCCATCTGGCAAAACAACGGCTGCGACTTTGTCTCACGCAATTTGTTCCGGAGTATCGCGCTGCTCCGCGACCTGACGCAGCACACATAGGCCGCGGTGCAGCCAGTTCTCCAGCGCAACGTGTACTGGGCCCGTACGGAACAGCTGCTGCTGGACATGGTGTGGATGAGAAGTGCATGGTCCGCGAACAGGCGGTTCCGATCGTCGCGCCGCTCGTGAGCGGCAAACCGAGGGTCTTTTTCAGCCCAGGGTCTTCGTCATGTCAGCGGTAAACTTCGAGGCCGTGAGGTACACCGAACTGATTCCCTGGCACGGACCAGTCACACAGCCCTCACTGCGGAACCTCAGCGACTGCGTGCTGCGGAACAAAGTGCAGGCACCGCTGGCCATCTTGCCCTATCTGGCTCACACTAGGAGCGCGACGCAGCGCCGCACTGCCGAAGACGTCTGGGGCTGGAGCTGGAGCTTCGGCAATGTGCGGAGCTCAGCTGCTA